GAAAAAGACATATCCACCTTCGAACAACTGAAGGAATACTTATTAGGAGCCCACGGAAGCCAGATGACTAACTTCCAACACCTCAGTCAAGCCTGGGACCTGGAACTGCGAGACGACGAAAAATTAACAGACTTCGCAGGTCGACTCGACAACACCCTTAGAGAGCCAGCCGTCCATATAAAAAACAAATACAAAAAAGACAAAAATACAGACTTAACAGTCGATGGACTTATTTCCATCATCGGCGCCATGCTAATGAGCGAAAAGGTGAAAATTTGGAACTCAAATCTTTACCCACATCTTCTCAAGACAATGGACAACCACTATTCAGCATAGCCTCCGAAGCTCAAAGATACATAGATCGCAGTATAAAATCCAACGACACGACTTCGCACGACACTGTGAATTTCACACAGAAACCACAGCGGTCAAACCAAAGAAACGCTCCACTCCGACCCAGCAGGCAACCAAACACACAGCAGACAGGCCTCACCAACCCTCCCGAACACGGCCACCATCCGACACGCAGAAACCATCAGCACACATCACGAATCAGCGTGTGCAAGAACTACCTCAGAGGTCGCCCCTGCCACCATGGACGCAACTGCCTATATCGCCACCCACCTCGCACTCAGGCACAGGCCCATATCGCCGCAACGAATGATAATATACAAGCCATAAATGATGTGGAACAGGATTTTCGCTTCGGGCAGGACGAGATGTGATGCCTCGTTCGCCGTGCCCCTACGTCAGCCATCACACCTTCAACTTTCAAGGACTCGCTCACCATTCACCGCTCGTCCAATCCACCTCTAACTTCAAGGACATCATCTTCTCTGGCGTCGCAATGCTACGAAAGACTCTGGCTGCTCCACCTGCATCTTACCAATATTTTAGTTACCCAGGGAAGCCAAGAAACACATGATCCGTTTCGACGTCATAGTAAAAGGAATCAACGGCAGCACCACCCCCTTGGCGAACTGACTTGCGACATCACCATCGGCAGTCGAAACTCACCCACATTCAAAGAGGTTAACGTGCTGGTAACTACCTAAACCACACCGATCCTGATCGGCCAAAATATCCTATGTCACAACACGCTCGATTCCTATCTAATCGATAACCAAAATGCGACTATAGAATTCAGACGCACACTTTCCTCAGGATACATAACACACACAGCCGCAATCATATCACCGTCATCGTCAACCAACGATCCAGCATATGGCACCCAAGCTGGCGTCATCCAAAACCAGCCTACTATGGAACTACAGCCCAACATCCAGACACTGGATCAAAAGCTAACCTGGCTAAAGCATAATACGGGGCTATCGCTACCAAACCACCCGAACCGAGACGAACTAGAGGCCACTGCAAACTTACTCATTCGCTACGCTGACATTATCGGTACTGAAAGCAGCAGCAAAGGCACATTCATCCGACCCATCCGCATACCAACCAACGGCCAGTCTCGCAGCCAGAAACAACACCCGATAGCTCAGGCTTTGGAAGCAGACGTTGATACCGAAATTAAGCGCATGGCCGGTGAAAGTATCATTGAAAACTGCAGCGACCCCAAAAGCTTCAGTAGCCCTGTATTTGCTGTACGCAAGAAAAACGGATCGATTCATCGCTAACTTTAGAAGAACTCTCAACAAGGTCTTAGTCGATCTTGACCCTTACCCAATGCCAAGGATCGACCACTTGTTCAAAAAAATCAGCAAAGACAATAGATATTTCACTACCCTCGATCTACGCAGCGGCTACTGGCAAATTGAGATCGACAAGCGAGACCGATACAAAACAGCATTTACATGGAAGGACCAATGCTATCAATACACGCGCCTGGCCTTCGGCCTTACATCTGCCGAACAAATCTTCTCCCGTTGCATAGCAGAAGCCCTAGCCACGGTCACATCCCGTGACAACATTTCTTCCTATATCGACGACAACCTAGTCCACGCTAGGACATTTAGGGACTACATACTCTCCCTCGAACAATTTTTTACTGCCCTCCGAAAATTCGGACTCAAGCTGAATCCAGATAAATGTTCCTTCCTCGCATCAGAGGCAAAATTCCTCGGACGCATAGTAAACAGCGAAGGATTCAAGGCTGATTCAGAATACGTTCGTGCCATCAGGGAAATGAAACCTCCAACATCAAAAAAGGAATTACAAAGCCTTAGCAGCCGTTTAGTGTGGATCAGACAATTCCAAGAGACACGTCTTCACGAACAAATCAGGTCAGATATGTTTTCAAAACTTATGGGTCCCACACACGAACTCAATAAGGTTAATAAACTGTTTATCTGGACGCAAAATGCCGACAGAGCCTTCAAAAAAATCAAGGACCGTCTCTCTTCGCCACCCGTCATCTCGTTTCCGGATTTCTCCAAACTTTTCACACTCACCACCGACGCCAGTGACGTCGCATGTGGAGCAATCTTAATGCAAGAAGCCGACAACGGGAAGAAAGATATCATAGCGGTCGCTTCCCATACATTCAACTCCACGGAACAGAACTGGTCCACGACGGAACGAGAGGCATATGCAGTAAAGTGGGCAATATTGAAATTTGCAACCGCCCCTTCGTCATCTTCGACCACAGATCGCTGACATATCTGGACCAACGAGAGTTCAATAATGCCAAAATACGACGATGGCAAGAAGAAATTTCATGTTATATATTCGTCTTAGAATATGTCAAAGGCGAATCAAATGTATGGGCTGACATGCTCAGCAGAGGTTGCGGACATAAGAAAACGAAAGCCCCGAACGACCCTACCCGGCAGGCAGGACATTCGAGGTAAGCGGTTCAGACCTCCGCGTATACATCCCATCTTGGTGCCTCGGCGAGTTTAACGGTTTACAGCTCATTCCCAAAACTCACACACACCACAAAACTCCCGCACCCACAAGCGCGTCACCAACGCATTCTTCGCCTATCACTCTACCACCACCATCTCCACTGAGAGAATCTGCAACCACCTCGGCATCGCAAATGAACAACAGAAGGACGACGGCCTGGCAAAGATCATCAGCACCCTCCAGTCACCCACTCCAAGCGAACCTCATATCGATCCTGACGACCACCGAGCTACGCTTTTCAAAAAACATTTGCATCAATTTTTTCTAGAACCAGGCACCTCTGTTTTGATGATAAGAGACAGTAAACACTCTCCGAGATTGGCTGTACCATACAAACTACGATCCAGATATCTCTACCAGGCACACGAGGGCAACAACCACTCAGGTGTTACCCGTATGCGAGAACTCCTTTCCAGCTACTGGTGGGAATTCAAAAACCGCGACATCAAAACCTATGTCGATTCTTGCGACACGTGTGCTAAGTGGAAGAGCAACTACGGTAGACGCGGATTGTACTAGTTCTTCCTTCGACACAAATTCCACGCATAGTATCCTCTGATCGAGGCACACACTTCACTGGAGAAGTCTATCGACAATTCTGTAACCAGATGTCAATCACGCAAGAACTTCACTGTCCTTGGCGCCCACAAAGCTCAGGAAATATCGAGAGACAACATCGCACGATGAAGAACGCGCTTTATATGTTATGCGAAGACAGGAACTGTGAATGGACAGACGTTCTAGAATCTGTCGTTTCGTCCACGAATGTCATCAGTGTCTCCCCGCACTATGCCATTACTGGCCGTCACCCCAACATCGGCCTACCTACACTACACAGAAAAGAAATCACAAGTGACGATCCTGGCGCATATGGAATGCAAATTAATGCCCTGCTAAAGCAGGTTCACCACCACGTCACCCTGGCCAACAATGAAGCTGACCACAAACTTGAGACTAACTTAAATCACCTCACATACAAGGGGACCCAATACAAGTAGGCGACAAGGTTTTTACTTCATCGGCCCACTCAACTGTTGCCCAATCCTCTCATCTGCCCTGGATAGGAAATTACACCATTATAAAAACGAACAATATGATGTGTCAGGTGCAAAACGATAATGGTGATACAATCTGGATTCACCGTGCACATATCCGACGACTGGCTCAACACCTTACACATCTATCTAATACAATCCCTCTGCGTCCACCATGTAAGTCACCAGGATCATTCTTCTCAACATCCCTCTGGGACACATAATTCAGCAAATAACTCCATACCAAAACAAATGCCAATAAGAACACGAGAACAACTTCCCACACGCTTCAGAGACTTTATCATGAATTAATCACCCAAATATACACGAATAACTCTCACTGTAAATCAGACCGCGACCTGGGGGAGACTTGTTATAAAAAAAATAAGACATATCTCATATACTCAAGAACAAGGCCCCGTCACAAAATGACCATTATCTTCGTTTACGCATGTTCCCGACGCACGAGTTCCGGTCGAAAAAAAAAAAATATTTTAAAGTGTTTCTATTTTTCGACCAATAAAAATGCTTCCCTCCTAATTATATTCGCGTCGTTTCTTGAGCCTGTTAAGCCATAAAAAACGCCATAAAAGGGGTCACATGGAAGTACAACGGCAGTCAACAGGAGGCCAGGGAAGAGACCTGTCACGGTCAGGCTGAGCGGTCAGCAGCAGTCAGCAAGGGGAGCGCCAGCGCCAACCAGTGTGAACTACTATGAGAGATCAACCCAGATTCGAAGCCGGCTTATGAACTTTACCACAAGGTAGCTGTCCAAAACCCACACGTTCCTGTTGAAATAAATCATGTAAATCTATTTCTGCTGTTGTCGTATTTCTTTCTTGCAACCATACGCTTGTCTATAACATGATGCACAACTGTTTTATTTCCTTGATCAAACTCTGAAGAGAGAATAATGAGAATTGTTTAGCTTTTTCTATTTTGTCTTTCTCCAAACCTTTTTTTTCTTCTTATTTTGAATTGCAATTTATATTGCTTATACCTTTCCTTCCTTTCTTTCCATCTGTGGGGTCACTCTCATCAAATCTCTCTGATTTCCAATTTTGGGCCATTATCCATTACAACACATATTCATTCAAGCTTACAGCACCTGGTATTCTCAAGTGATCACCCATTTAGGTACTGACCAGGCTTGATGTTGATTAACTTCAGTGATTGTATGGAAATCAGTGTTTCAACATGATACAGCCATAAGCCCAAAAGTTTTTGAGGCCTGGACTTTGATTTCTCTTTTGTATTTCATAAACTGAATAAATTCCACATTAAGTTTGTTACTTTTTTTTTTAAGCATTACGCCCCAAGCAAGGCGTGAAGCCACTAGGATGCAGGGGGTTGCAGAAGATTTGGAGCAAGAGCAGATAGGAGTGATAGAAGAAAGGATGAGGAGAGGGATAGTGGACAGATCAAGGTAACTGGAGATGTCGATTGACATTACATTTGAATAGTTGGAGATTACAGCTCTCAGGGAAACAGTAATTGGGAAGGCTGTTCCATAGGCGAGAGGTGCGAGATATGAAGCTATTGGAGTAGAAGAGATGGCTACATTTAAAAGTTTCTAGAGTGTAAGGGTGAGAGCAGGATGCTAGCCTCGTAGGGCGCTTGAATTCATGGAGTCTGGGAACCAGTGAAAGCAGCTCATCGGAGCAATTACCATGAAAGTATTTGTAGAAAAGACAGAGAGAGGCGGTGGCACATCTGTGAGTGAGTGACTGTAGACGAGATGCCAGATCAGGGCCAATTATATTACATATCCGTCTCTGGATCTTGTCAAGAACTCTGAGGTAAACAGAAGGTGCACCAGACCATATATGGCAGCAATACTCCATGCAAGGGCGAATATTTGTATATTTGAAGTATCGATTCCGGGGAGAAAAATTTCATGGCGCGGCACAGAGAGCCAACTTTCTTCGCGGTGGACGATGCAATTGACTCAGTGTATTTGTTCCATCTCAGGTCAGCAGTCAACGTGAGACCAAGCAGATGCAGAGAGTTGCTCTCAAGAATTTGACTATCAGACATTCTAATGGGGGGCAGGGAAGGATCTCTATGGTGATTAATAGAGAGTAGTTTTGTTTTTGAGGCATTAAAGTTGACCAGCCAATTCTTGCCCCAATTAGCAACCGATCGGAGGTCCATTTATTGTGTTTCATTAATGACATTTCATGAAAATGATTTTTCTTTTGGTTAAAAATGGTCCACTTATAAAATATGTTTTAATGAATTTATTTGTTTTATGAAATTTTAATATATATAGATTTTCATAAATATTTACAATGCACATGTCATAATAATCTGTAGAGTTAATCTTGAGGGATTAGTTTAGTGAAAGGTTTATATAGAAATACAAATGATCTTATGAAATCTGACAATATTTGTTGCCTTTATGGATATTTGAATTTCAAACAGGTGTTACGATGTTTTGGAAAACTTAAAAAAACAAATATTTAGTTCTCTCATAAACCCAGTGTCTATAAAATGTATTATACCATTTTTGTATAGGTTAAAATAATTATTTTTCTTGTTTCTAACAAGATTCCTTACAATAAATTTGTATATTTTCTTTATATTAGTCATTAGTCAAGTACTTTTGCACTGTTTATACACCAACTTGTATAACAGAATGATCAACTTTTTTCTAAGAAACATTTTTTAGTCAAGTGTCATTCAGCAGCTGTTGATTTTTTAAAAAGTTTTGTTTGTGATTATATGTACTCTTTGGGAGATTATGGCAGACTGTGCTAGGAAGAACTAGTTTTGAGGAAGCTTCATGGCAAAATTCCAAGTTGTCAATTATTAATGGACAGAGATCATCGGACTGTGAGGTAGATAAAACATTTATAAATGTGTGGGTGTTATCTAACTCAAGCAATGACAGACTCTTACTTTTCTTCCATAAACAAAGACAGGTGGATTAAATTCTTTGTTAGAACACGAGGAGAGGTAGGCAATTATGTCATCAATTTGTCCTAATCAACAATGTTTTAAAGCATCATAATCTACAATTGATTGTCATCCTCATTTAGACTTTATTTTAAAGGACATGTCTCTGCACTTAAAATTCTTTAACTAATTCTTGATGATACAGTTGGAATTGTTTCATTTATTTCTACTTCCCAAATTCTATGAGCACCCTCATCAAATTTGAGGCGCACTTGAAAATAATGCCTCATAATTGTCAAAATGTAAATACTTGTATCCACCATTATAACATCTGAAACAATAGGTAAGACTAAAGAATACTGATGATAATGCTATAACATATATATATAGTAGGCCCTCATCAGTCATTGTCGACTATGGATGATGCACCTGCATGTTAAGTTATGCCAATGCTCTTGCGCAGCATCAGCTGTGGCTAGTAATCTGGCTTACTTTCTTTTCCTCTGGATTCCCCCCCCAACCTTAATGTCTGGAGTTTTCCTATCACACGTCTTTGTAGCACAGCTGGGGGTGGCCAACAGATTTCTTGCCAGAGGCTAGTTTGCATTACAGGATATCGTTTGGGATATGGCCACCTTCCATCTGGCACACATGGCCAAGCCAGTGCAGCCTGCATTGTCTGAGCAGTGTGTACATGGTGGGGAGGGCAGCATGTGACAGAACCGGGGTGCTGGATACTTTGTTACTCCAATTGATGTCGATGATGCAGAAAAGCAGTGCATATGGAAACTATTCAGCATTCATTCTTGTTTGACATATGTTGTCTAGGTTTCATTGTTGATAATGTAGGTGTTGTAAACTGTCAATATCATAGGAATTGTAATAGTACTAATAGTAGTAGTAGTAGTAAATTATGGAATCATACATAAAATAAGCTTTAAAGTAAAGGTCTGTAAAAACAAAAATGTTTTTTGATAACCCTAATAAAATCTAACATAAAAAGTCAAGCTTCTCTGCTTGTTATCATAGCTATACCTGTAAATGTTGATGCATTTCAGAATCTAGTAGATTTTACAGATACATAGACAGGTTTATTTTATCACATTGATATCAGTATTTTCTTTTTGAAAATGAGCAAGTATTTTGTATGTTTGAAAGCATCAATATCTGCATGTATGGCTATATACTCATACATTTTATAAAAATGTTTTGAATATAAAAAATGATAAGGTATAAGTTTTAAAAAGAAAAAGTTACTTCTAAAATAATTATTTTCATGCTCATGATCATATAATCTTTAAATTATTTAAAGTTGTAGTAACTTTGCTTTCATTTATGTTATAAGTCACAAAGTGTATAAAGAAAGTAAGAAAGACATTTATACAAGTCAAAGAAGGAAGAATGAAAATATGATAAAATCAGGGAAAAAACTGGAAAGATTTCATTTTTCATTTCTCATGATTGAAAAGTATAAACATACAAGTGTTTCTTTTTCTGCTGAACAAATTCCTATTCGTGCACTCCTTGCCATAAAAATACATAAATACATAAAATAAAAATCTTTATAAAATGTTACATTTAAGCTTGATTTGAAACAAAATAAGTTGTTGAAATATAAAAAGGAAATTAATGTCTGACTGTATTTCATACACTACTTGAATTTATTAAATCACATTCTTCAACATCAGATGTGGCTATAACAAATTGTGTAATGTTATGTTAGTAACATCTTAATATAATATGAAACTAAAATTTTTATATGTAAAATAATTGTTTATTCACTTCTGTACTTTGTGAAATTAATGTCAGCCAATCAAGGGTATATGGTTTCAAGCCTTTCTGTGAAGATTCAATGCAATGATGTGAGGGCATTCTTCTAACTCCTGATGTTTCAGGCATTTATATAACTTCCTGTTATCTGGTTGTCTTATATCCTAAGTTCAATTGGATTCACTTGTTTATTATGTTGGTACACCCAATGACATCTTTTGATGCTCTGTGCACTTACAAACACTTACGTAAATTGATGGGCATAGAACATTTAAGCATTCCATACCACATCACAATCTACCAATACAAGGCAACAGTCCTACTTTTCCAACGAAGGCCAATATACTGATTTTGAAGGGGCTATGTTCATGAGATAGGTATTCATAATTGGGATAAGAATGATTTTGAACAGAAAATTAAAAAAAAAAAAATAAATACTCTATCAAGTGTTCTAAGAAATAGGACTCAAACCATTCCAAAACAGAATAAATGATTTGGAATTGGAATGAAAGCAGTGATGACAACTATCCAGCATAAAAATTCAGGATGTGGAATTAGCAAATACCAAACATTTCAAATACCTCAGGATTATAAAAAAAACTTAGTATAGGAGATAAGGACATTGAACATTGAATAGGCTGCACTAGAGGTAGGTTTGTCCACAACCACAAATTGTTACAAAATCATTAACCTGAAAACATGAGTCATGTTCCTAAATAAACTCATCAGATTGAAACATTCATACAGATGTTATACATGGCACCAAACCTGTTCAGAAATATCTAAACTGTCAGCTGTATACAACTGTTTTCTCAGATCAATGGTTAAGAATGGCTATGAGCAAAGGTTTTGGTGAAGACCTCATTTCTTCAAACATTTTCGACTGACAATGCAGAATCAGAAAGAATTGTACCAAATAACAGGAACAACATCATTTTCAATAGCACCAACAGCTAAAATGGATGTCATATGTAACTCAAAGTGAAAATAATGATATAATCAAGATGTTAACATTCCCCATTACTTCAAGTGAAAGGTTAGGAAGGAAACCCTCATCAATACTGGAAAGAGCAATAACAGCTACTGGATTTGAAAAATTTATTTTCCTGAAAAATTGTTTTAAGAAAAAGATTTTTAAAAATTTCATCTAACAGTAGTAACCACTTAGTCAATGAATACTGTATGTTTCCTTATAAGGAAATGGCTAATTTTACTATTAACATTTGAAGCCTGATTCTGCACTTAGTAGCTTTGAGATCACCTTCTAGGTCAATTCTTAAAGCACCTAGATCTTTTGACATTTTGAGTTGATGCAAGTACAAAATTACTTTGGTATCTCATAGGCTGAACAGTACATACTAGGATCACCACAGATCAACTCTTTTTAGGTCAAAGGTTCCTGATGGTCACACTTAGTAAGTACTGGGAGTGAAATTAATACAGAAAGTTTGGGTTTACATTTTTGTGAAAGAAATAATAAAATCTTGTTGAAAACAATTGTGAAAAGAAAGAAGTTAAGGTTAATTATAAGTCAAAGCAG